ACGTAGAAGAAGAATAAATAGTACAGATAGATAGTATATATATATATATATATATATATATATATATAAATAGACATTTAAAAACCTGCATTTCAGAGATTCTTGAGATTATTCAAATACAATATGCAAAGCATATTGAGAGACAAAACTATTTTTGCCTTCACATGAATATTACCTTGCACTCTGACTTATCATAGTTTGAATCAGACTGAAATATTCAATTCACAGTCATACCTCGAGTTTAAATACTTTTGTATACAACAGACCTGTACATTTTACTCAAACTTGCCATATTCCATATAGATAAGTGTAGTAACTTTAGAATTATAGCCAATATTAATTCTCCAATATGAGATCAGTCCAATAGACTAAACCCATGCACAATACAGTTAATATGCTCAGTACCTAATTTTTAGAAAAAAAGGGTACTGGGTCCCTGTTCATGAATGGATGTGGGGATTTGGAGCTGTGAATGATAACAGTTTAAATGTTATTCAGTATACAGCTTGGAAGGCTGAAGGAGAATAATGTAATTGATTACTTCAGTAAACAAGTCAGTCAGTCCTAAGAAAATAATTATAGTGTTTCCACCTTTAGAAAACCAAAATGAGTTCCAGAACTGAAGATGCATTTACCAAATTACTGTATAGTACTATTTGTGTAACTTGTACTTTTATTTGTGCAAATTATAGAAGCACTAGCAGTAGTACTATAACTTAAATTATAACCTGTGTTACAGTTAGTGTTAATCATTAATATTAGCTGCAACACTCTATGTTTCAGCCAACAGAGTATGGGTCTACATAATTGGACTGGAGTACTAGTACTAGAACACTGCAACTTGCAAGTTCAACTGTCATAATATCAGTAACTTACTAGAAGTTTCTGAATATTGTGCTCATTATCAAATTTCTTGGCTAAATTTTTACAACATGTACTACTTTTATTATTAAAATATTAATAATCAAATGTCAGTTGTTACTAAATCATATAAATCACTAAATCATTAATATTAAATGTGCGGATATTCTTTTTTATCATATTTATTTTTTACTATTTTAAATTTACGGCATTTCCTTTTTTCCAACTAACACTGTAACTTATAAGTTGTAACACATGACATCGTGTCAGTTCGTTGTCAGCATGACTAAATCTTAATTTCCTATTCCTAGCCTATCATGATTAAAAATAAATATAATTGTTAGGGTTAGGCTACCTACCGCAAGCGTTCGGTTCAACGACGCCAAGTGCTAGTTACGCAGTGTACGTACGACTGTATATTTTAAAGTAGCAAGGCCTATTCTCCTATTATTACAAGTACTACACTGTTTCCATGGGCAAAACATTTATCAAAATATGATAGAACTCAAAATTTAAAAACCGTTTGGAGTAAACAATTCATCTCTTAATTCCAAAAATGTCGCACATGCATTTAACTTACCGAAAAAAAGCCATAAATCATGACATTTAAACAACTACCAAATACACTTCTCAGGTCAGACAGGAACACAGTTAGTTATCGGGTTCAGTACCAATACTAATGGGCTTGGCCCAGATTTACGTCACAGAAGTTCCCTTTTGTTTAGCTTCCTTATTCATATTATATATATATATATATATATATATGTAGTGCCGAACATTTAGTAGGTAAAAATTCAAGTTTTATTACACAAAACACTTCTCAGTTCAATAAATGATAATAGTGTTGGACAAACATATTTCTGTAATCGCAATTTCAATAGCTAGTTTCAGAATTCTTTTAATTTTGATTAGAGGTTAAAAAGACACATGAAAAAATATTTGGACAGGTACTTCAATTTTTATATTACTTTAATTAAACAGTTTGTTTTGTAAGTCATAAAGTAATTTCAAAATATAACTTGCGTTTTGAAATTATCATTTTTTAAATGTTGTACGTATATTATCACATTCGTCCCTGGTGGGACAGAGGTAAGTCTTCGGATTTACAACACTAAAATCATGGGTTCGATTCCCTTTGGTAGACATAGCAGATAGCCCAATGTGGCTTTCCTATAAATATAAGAAAACACACACGTTTTTCAATATTCATCGTTTTTAACAGCAATGGTTAGTGTCAATGGAATAAAGAAGAGGCGAGAGACATCTTTGTTTACACGAGGCTTTTGAGACTTGAAATGAGTTGTGTGGAATAAATACCTGTTCTAAGTACTCAAAATAATACTAAGGTAGCAATTATACTAAGAATGCTAATACAAGATCTATTATTCTCAACGTTTCAGCTACAAGTCTTCTTCTAGATAATCTCCTGAAGAAAACTTGTAGTCGAAACGTTGAGAATGAAATATCCTGTCATAGCATTCATAATCTCATTGCTACCTTAGTATCCATTTGTCAACACGAATAATACTTACTCGAAAGAAGTTAAACTTCACCAAATTGTAATATTCTGTGAAAATGAGCGAAAGATAACTTCTTTGTCAAACCAAGAACTTTCTCTTAGAAGTCTGTGGCTAACTAATGTTAACCAATAAGAGAAGATTCCATACACAGTGTTTGATGTAATGAATAATATTGTTACGTCTCCGTTCGTTAGTTAATTTT